TATATATATATATATATATATATATATCGAGTTGATTGATTTATATACATTTCATGAAGAGAGAAATTTAGGCATAGTATCATTATTTTTTTTATGCTATTCTTCCATTAAAATTATAATTTTATCTCTGAAATGTAATGCAGTTAATACACATTACCAAGATAAAATTTTGATTTTAATTAGATAATATCCAGCAAAAGCATTAATTTGTTATACTAAACATAAACAGTTGAGGACTTAGATTGATAGGAAGCAAATCTAAAGGTAATTTTAATTGTAAAATAACATCACCTATAGAAGGAAGATTTATATATGTCACCTTACAAACATATTATGAGTAATTATGTAGGCTACATAAGGATTAAGGACGCTACTTAATATTAAACGTGGTGTTAAGTTTCAGAGGTTATGAACTTTTTATTTTATTTTTTCATGAGAAAAGAAAGCCAACATACTTGTGAAGTTTTCCATTTGAGATTAAGCAACTTAGGCTTAATATTGGATTTTATAGAGATGTTGAAAAACCCTTTGTCTGCCATCTCATATAAATATATATGTGAAAGATAGTGGTGTTTATAATTAATAGGACAGCGATTAATTATTTTTAATTTTAATCTTCGAATATTGTTATCAATTGTTCTCAGAATCTTTTATATATATATATATATATATATATATATATTATTTTTAGAATTTGTTTTGGTTCTTTTGGTGAGTATTCATCAATATCTGACAAGTAAAATTTTTAAATCAAAGTAGATATTATTGGATTTCAATTAACTATATATTAAGTGAACGAGAATAATTTCTTTGAGAATTTTTAGTATGTCAGTTACTTCCTATTCAATAATTTTGAAAATGTTATATTCTATCTACCATTTTATATGTAAAAAAAAAATATTAATTAAAAAAAACATCTTAATTGTGACAACTGTGTTAAAATTAAGTAAACCATATATTTGGGCACCATTGATCGTCAAGGTTAATATATCAGTTGCAGAATCTGTTTGGAGATATTCTTTTGGTATCCTACACAATCAGTTAAAAGCTATCTGCGTATCAAGTTATGACAATATGTATATGGGTCCATTTTGCATCAAACAACTTGATTTTGATATATGTGTTAAACTAAACAGTATCCCCAATATTATTCAACTATACTATATTATGCAATGAATTCCAGATCCTAATTAATATGGATTTGTAACCACCGTGTATATACAAAGCAACTTATATTAGGGAAGCAAAGATATGACAACTAAGCTGATCTTGACAGTAATGCTTCTTTAAGGAATTCTCCGAGCATTTGCAATATTTTATGATCAGTAGCTTTTTACTGATATATATTCAATTTTGAAGTATTAACATGTCACGGTTAGCATATTGATTTCTATCATATGATCTTATCCAAATCTCCTTAGCCCTAACAAGTATATATATACAACCTTTAGTTTTGGAATAATTTATGGTTATATGGACTGCTGCATGAGCTTTTGTCATTTTGACCTTTTTATATATCATAAGGGGTTCCTTTTTTCTGTTAATACTTTGGTACGTACAAGTAATGAACTTTATGTATATTTTGTTCACCTCTTGCCGTGATCACAACTTGTGATTCAAGTCAAGCTTCTTGATTTTATTGATAATAATCTTTTACTTTTATTTCGTATATATATATATATACTTAAATTTATTTTATTCAATAATTTATGTTCTACATCAAATTTCAACGATCAAACCATTGAAATTAAAGTAATTAAACTTATTCTATTCAATGTATAAAATGGTTTTATGATTATCTGTCAATTTGAATTAAAGAAATGAAATATCAAATGGTTTCAAATTTTTTAAAAATTTGCAAACTTAATTTATACATTAAGAATTTTAAATTCAACGGTTTGATTATTGAAATTTAATGAAGAACATGAGTTATTGAACGGAGTAAACGGATCCCTCCTCATATATATATATATATAGAGAGAGAGAGAGGAGGGGTATAATTACACCAGTGTAACTTTTATTATCTACACAAGTTTTTTCCTTCTCTTATCACACCCAACAAAGGAAGCAGAAGGTTCAAAACCAAATAGTAGTCAGAGGGGTTCCAATATATACAGTGCAAGCAAACTCAGTCTAATAAACTATATATAAGAAACAGTTAGAAAGATGTGTGTCATGTGTTAATTTCCAAACCACCAAGTTACTCAGAAAATTTCCTTCTCAGCTCAGATAGATCTACACTGTCGGAATTGTCAACCTGTAAACCCATTTCATCAATAATTGAAGGGAGAATAATATAGAATATTAGCATATTGTTTTTCCTTAATTAATACATTAACATAAGACAATAATCCTACTACGTACCTCACACTGCACACTGTGGAGTAATCTGCCATTGACTTGAGTTGAAAGACAACTAACAACTTCAAGTCGTTCTTCTAACAGCAGTTGAAGCAATTTAGAAAGTGAGAATCCTTCCTCACCGAATCCACTTATTTCAATCCCCACAGCTCCGCCTCCACTATTCTGGTGAACAGTGAAACCTCCAGAAGCATGCTTGGTCTCATGGTGGCTTTCGAGGCTTTGATTTATGGAGAGTTTCCTCTTCAGTCCATCCCTCTTGTCACTCAATTCTTTAATATTCTTCTGCAGGTGGTTTATGTAATTCACTGCCTGGTTCATTTGATCAGATTTGGAACGCTTTCCCTGAAACCCCAATAGAATAATAAGAGCCCTAAAGTTAATTAGAACACAATAGAGGCAAACTAAGAAGTCAAAAAGAAAGGAAAATAGATGATTAACTGCTTCACCTTGATGAAGTCAAGAGGCAGGAGGGATCTAAGAGAGGCATGAAGGGTAGCCATTTCTTGCCTCCTTTGTCTTTCAATCTCTCTGTGAACCATCTTTTTTGTATATTCGTTAGAATTAGCGTGGCCGGGCTCATAAAATAGTTTGTTTGGGCGGCTTGTAGGCAATTTTTTATCGGAAACGTGATCATCCAGAATCAGATCTTGGGAGATTTTGTGCTGCTGGTGGAGACCATTAGAAAACTGGATCACCAGCTCATTGCCTCGTTGTAAAGGAAACATGGTTGGTCAGCTCAACAAGTAGCACTGTTCCAAATTATTATCCTCAATTTTGGCTAATTAAAGGAAGCACAAATAGGGTAGCCATGTCTTGTTTTCTTTCAAAGGGAATGGGAAGGGGGGCTTATATGCCAAAGATTCCTTCATATAACTACGCAAGGAAAGTGATAGATGGAAATGTGTATGCGAAGACTGACCTCACTATTGTTATTATTTGAGTCTACTGTTCATAACAGAACCCCACCTATTTGCGTTCACATAATAACTTAAGTCGGCACTTAAATTAAGCACCATAAATTGTATTAAAAGGTTTATTTATTTAGAAAAGATTGCAGGAAAAAAAATAATAGAAAGGTAAGAGAGAAAAGGGTATGATAACGGAAACATTTTCATTTATGGATTCTTTCTATCCATTGAAATGATGAAATAAAAGAAGGGGGAGGGGTTGGTGAATTCGGACACCCTACCCATGTGTAGGTCTATCAAAATAAATCAAGTTTCATATGTTTATTATCTAATTTTAATTTATAACTCAATCAAATGAGTAGGTTAATTGGTCAATCAAAACTAACGTCTAATTTTCAAGTAAACTCGCTATAAACAAATGATTCTACAAATTTAAAAGATATTAATTGAAACAAAATGTTATTCTAATTGAATTGTTAAATTTATCTTCTCTCTCTCTTTAATATATGATAATTAAAATATCACCTTAAAACTAACGTCTATCTATTTTATATAAAAAAATACTCAACCAGTACTTTTGTTTATTAATTTATTATTCATTAGTTATTTTAATAAGTTCATTAAGTTTTTATAATAATGTCTCAAAATCTATTGTACAATTCCTCTACCAAAATTTTTTTTTAAAAATAAATTCACACTACTAGATTTTAATTCTTTAGCAATATTTTCTTATTTACATTTGTTAAAATGTTACTATATATTAAACAAATAGGTTATTTTGCAACATTTAAAAAAAAATTTCATTATAGATAGTGTAACATTTTTTATTTCAATATTATTATTTCTAATTGTTTTCAAAATCAAAGTCCCATATCGAGGAAAAAAATTTCACATAGGTTATTTTAAAACATTTTTTTTTAAAAAAAATGTTACTGTAATTGCTTCTAAAATCAAAGTTCCACATCGAGTAAAAAAATGTATATTTCTCTTATCTCAAATTGTTACCCATAATTAAAGTCCCACGTCGAATAGATTAATGACTCGTAAAGAGTATAACCATATAGTTATACTTAAAATAAATGAAATTTAATATTTGATATATAATTAGTGGTAACTAAGTAAGAATATATTTAATCTTCTATCAAAGAACTCTTAGGAGTTTAAGATATATAAAAATATAATAATTGATAATAATATCTCTAAATTAAAATTAATTATTATTTTATAAAATTAATAAAATATTGACAACATCATTAAAATGTTACAAAAATACTACTTTACTAATATTTGAAAAATGTTGTCTAATTATATAAAAATGTTATTAAAAGTCTTTAACAACATGAACAATATACAACATTTGATAATATGTTGTTAAAGCAAATGAGTAACATTTATACATGATTAAGTAACGTTTTTCAAATGTTACTAAAAACTATTTATGTTGTAGTGTTAATCTTACAATACAACCCTCTTATGGATATCGTAGCAACCGCCATTCTTTATGAAATTTAATTGGTCGGATAACTATACACAGCTAATATTGTATTTTTATATAGTGTCTCTCACACGTTATTAAACAAAATAAAAAACATAAAAAATAATTCTTATTTAAACACAAAGTAAAAGAAAGGAACTGTTGCCAAAAGTTGGTACCTTACCGTGATATTGTTGATTATATTGATTCGGTTAATATTTCTTTTAGGTTGTACCCATACACTACTACATTTTATCTCTTTAGTAATATTTTCTTTCTTATATTTGTTAAAATGTTATTATATATTAAATAAATAGGTTATTTTGTAACATTTTTTTTTTGAAAATGTCATTATAGATAGAGTAACATTTTTTATTTCAATATTATTTTTTTAATTATTTTCAAAATTAAAGTCTCATATTGAGTAAAAAAATATCATATAGGTTCATTTAATAACTCATATTTTACATTAAATTTTAACTATTCAACTATTGAATTTAAAATCCACAATGCATAGATCATGTTTGCAAATTTTTATAAAAATATGAAAATTATTCAATATTTCATTTAATTAATTAAAATTAACATATAAAATATTTTTATAATTATCTATTATTTTGAATTAATGAAACAGTGTTAAATAATTTTCAAATTTTTTAAAAATTTGTAAACTTAATCTTTGTATTAAGAAATTTAAATTCAATTATTGAATGATTAAAATTTAATGTAAAACATGAATTATTAAATGGAATAAGTGTAGGAAAAAAATTAATATCTCAATATCTTGAGATGTCATTAGCTAATTTATTTCAATTTTTTCTCCATCAACGACTCACTTAATTAAATCTTTATCATAGCACAACTTTCTTTTTGTTAGTACGAGTTGCTTAAAGTGTGTGCATTGTGCATTGCATGTGCACCAAATATCTGCGACTGTCCATTCGATCTACCACTCTTTAGTTTGGACAAATTATTTTCTCAACACTTTCATATTTTCAACCTTAATTATATTCATCATAACTTTCCAACTGTATCTCATGCTGTATGTTCTAAGGATCTCACCAAGTGGGGTACAGGAAAGATACGAAGGCAGAAAAATGTAAGCAAAAACCAAGAACAGATAAAGTTAGTCTCAATTCAATGTGTGTCTGTATCAAATCGAGGATTATGATCACAAATCTTCCACAACCCCCACTAACTAAAGGATCGCTAATTAAAATGCATATATATATCGATACGCTCTATTTGTTTAATTTTTTTATATTATTAGTGATACTCGTCCAATTAATTTTTGAAAAGTTCAATGTATACATTCCAATTTTGGTTGAATAATCAGAAGAAGGAGATAAATTAAAAAAAAAAAAAAAAAAAGGTGATTGAAAAAGAATTATATATGATAAGTCATGATGTGATAAAAAAAATATATGGGATCAAAAAGGAGATGAAAAATAATAGGGATAACTACGTATACCCTCTAATTTATAACAAGATCATGCGCGGAACTAGCTATATCACGTAAAACAGATATAGCTTCTAGTCAAATTAAGTGGAGCTACTGTGAATTCCAGATGTTTGAATCAGCGATTGTAATATATTTTTCTTATCTTGTAAAACTGCTGGCACAATATGAATATATATGTTTGTCATTAAAAAATGAGTTAACATTTGACTTTTTCTATTAAAAAAAAAAGAGCTAATATTTGACTCTTGTCTTTACCAATGAACTATATCCGAATGACGTCACGAAACTGATATTTTATGAGTTTTGCAAGTATTATATATATATGAAGAGGTTTATAACAATATCGGTGTAATTTTTATTAAGTGTTACATCGCTCAATAATTTTATATGTAATTGTTAGATTGAAAATTCATTACGCTTAGATCATATATACAAATTTTTATATTAATCCAAGATAATTTGATACTTCATTCTTATAAAACAAAATTGACGTAATAAATATATTTTAAAATATATTAAAATATGAACATTTTGATTATCCTTCAAGTTTTTGTTCAATTTTAACAAAATTTGATATACACATAAACTAATATGATTCACGCTTAAGCAAGGTCAGGGGTTCGATTCACGCTTAAGCAAGGTCAGGGGTTGATTCACGCTTAAGTAAGGTAGGAGTTGATTCACGCTTAAGCAAGGTCAGGGGTTCGAATCCTGCCTTGTGTATGCAGTCGCGTTAAATCTTGGGGCCAGCTATCCCACCCTTTGAGGTGCCTCCAACGTAGCGAGGAGATTAGTCACTGCTGTCGGCGGTGGATACTCCAGGAACGAACCTAAAAAAAAAACTAATATGAACTTTCAATCTAACGGTTAGATTTACAAAATTCACATTTAATATAAAGTTATTGAGGAGTGTAATACTTAGTAAAAGTTACACCGATATTATTATAACTCTTATATATATATATATGTGTGTGTGTGTGTGTGGAGATAAAAAAGAAATGATAAGTATTGAAGGCACTCATCAAATCTAAGTGCGTTTATCTCATCCAATTAAGATTAATTGAGCTTCATATAAGGGTGTTCATGGATCGGTTTTTTGAAAAATCTAAATCAAATCGAACCATTTTATAAAAGTAGATCAGTTAATTGATACTTTTTTATAAAGTGGATTGGTTTAGTTTTTTTAAAATATGGATCGATTTTTTTGAAATTGGACCAGTTCGATGCGGTGCAGTTATTCATTTTTTACTCATATATGAATCGGTTATTTTAAAAAATCAAACTAAACCAAACCAATCCACTTTGAAAAAATAGATCGAATAACTGAATCGGTTTTATAAAGTGGATCGATTCGAATTTTTTTCAAAATGGATCATATTTTTCAATACGGATCGAATAGATTATGGACCAGTTTGGATCAATTTAAAATTTTTGCACACCTCTAATTTCATAGTGGTTCATACACACCGGTAAGAATAAAAGGAACCAACTTTAACATGGATGAGAGGTAAGTCAAGCTGGTCAGCTCAGACCAAGCTAACTTAAGATTGACTTGGGGCTTTATACTTTATAGCCAGTTAATAAGTTAAAAGTTAAAATATTTTTTTAATTTAATGATAAATATTAAATTAGAAATATTTGGTACAATCAGTTGTTTATTTATCAAATAAATATAAGATGACATAAGTTCGTATACTACTTCAAGTAACATGAATTTAGTAAGATAAGTTTGTTTATGAAACTCTTTATTAGATCCTAGTTTCTTTTGTAAGTAAATGTCATAAAATATTTAAGTGTAGATAGATAAAATGGGACTTGAAACTGAAAGAATACGAGTGCCGATTTGGTGCACTCTACTGTCTCTGCAAGCTTCTTGGTGAAATTGGGCTTAATTAATCTTTGTCAAACAGATCTTCAATGTCGTCCACTAATGGTGATGAATTATGTTGGGCTCATATATACATCTCCTTTTGTTTATAAGTGCACTTTCTTTATTTTATTTTTAAAAAAAAAATCTTAA